TTTCTATAGCTGCCACTAGAGCTGAGAGCTGGCTCCAGCTCTGGGGCTGTGGCTGGCTGACAGCAGGTATCTGGATTTGTTTAGCTTCTATAATTGAAATTCTGTTGCCATCACTGGCGCTCTAAGCTCTGACCCCGCTGGCGGCTGAAAGCAGGTTTCTGGGTTTGTTTAGCTTCTATAATTGCAACATTGTTGCATCTGGAGCTCAGAGCTGGGCTGTGGCAGGCGGGGAACCTTGGCTTCCTCCGTCACTGGAGCAAGCAAGCCTCATGTTCGCTTCAGCTGCATGGCTGTCGGCCGCCATCTTGGTTGGCAGTTAATTTGCATATCTTGCTGATTAGCCAATGGGAAGGGTAGCGAAGTTATGGTTAATTACCATGTTTCTCTATTATTAGATAGGATTCTTGATATAGCAAACATTATGTGTACTACTGTTAAAAATTACCAAAATATTGGTATAAGTACCTATCAGAATAGAATTACTTTGTTTACAAAAGATCTGTACATGTGGTTTATTCATGTTTTGTTTTGTTTTTAAAGGTTACGGGAAGTTTCAGAAAAACTGAACAAGTATAATTTAAACAGGTAAGAGCTGTAAAATATTTAAAATTTCCTGAAAAGAATGTTTCTTTATTAGGAAAAAGAATTCATATTTAGGAAGCATCTATTAGGAATATTTTAATCTAATTCAACTTTTTGTGAGTTGGGTGCATTTGAATTACAGTTTCTGTTTATGCTGGCTTTTAAAAAATCTTGGAGCAGCAAGGAACTGGAATTATAATGACTATGAGGATACAATTGTTAATTCTTCAGTTATTGCTTTAAAATATGTAAATATTAGTTTTGAAAACAGTTTTTGCCAGCTCTGTTTTTCTTTGGTTACTTGGATTTTTTTTTAACAAAAGGAAACAACCCTGCGATGTATTTACTATTTACAGAGTAATTTTACTTACATACTTTCTTTTATTCACCAGCCACCCCCCTTTGAATGTATTGGAACAGGCTACTATTAAACAGTGTGTGGTGGGACCAAATCATGCTGCCTTTCTTCTTGAGGTAAATTGTTTATTCGAAGAGAGAAATGAAAATAAACAGTTAAAATACAGCTGTGCATCATCAGGTTTCTTTCTTTTTAACCATGGAAAATATCAGTTTCTTGCAAGAGTTATTTCAGAGATCACCAGTTCCATTTCCCCATTGTGTAAATTCTCTGGCCCAGATAAAGCTTAAATGATATACTAGAGCTTGAAACCAATTAGTAACATAATAGAGAAGTTCCTGATATCCAGTCATTTCCTTACTCTGATTCTGTTAGATTGAGATATTTTAAATTATTTTTACTGGGTTCTTGATAATATATGTAAAACACATTTCCCCAACTCAGGTGTTAGCACCTTCTGGAAGTGAGTTTATTTATTGTTTTCTGAATTGACAGTGATAGGTACATGATCAATCTGTTCATTGAATAAATTCAAATTTTAATTCACATTTTCTACTTTGGAAATTTCTTCTATTTTCTTTGCTTTTAGGATGGTAGAGTTTGCAGGATCGGTTTTTCAGTACAGCCAGACAGACTGGAATTGGGTAAACCTGATAATAATGATGGGTAAGATGTCCTTTCTATTTAAAATTTAGCTCTTACAAGGTATTATTTTAAACCTTTATTTTTGATTTTTTTGGTAGCCCTCATGTTTTTAAAAAAAGCATTGCCGAAAATGAGACACTTAAAATAGAGTGTAGTTTGATTTTAATTTTTATGCACTGCAGTGATTTGTAGCTAAAAATACTAGCATTAAAATAGCAGAATAGATGATTAAGAATAATGACATGTATTTGGTAGGTTCCAAGTCAAATTTGTTCTTTGATCTAAATAACTTGTTAGATCATGTTTTCTTTTTTTTTTTTTCTTTTTCTTTTGTAATATATTCAAATGAAGTGACCCAACTTGAAAATGACAGGCTTTTTAAAATTTTGGTCTTTATAAATGATAGCATATAGAAAAGTTTGCTGGACAATATATGATGAATTTCAATTAACTGCTTCTAAGGAAAGCATGATTACTTTAAGAAATATAAAGAATAGTTCATCTGTAGTTAAACCTTGAAAATGTTTCAACCAGTAAAGAATTCCGGATTGTTATGGGGCTATAAGTTGTTAGATTTGCCCTTTGATGTGAAGTATACGTTTTTAGTAGGATTAATCAGAGAATACATAGGTTGTGATTGTTCTGCCTCTTGTTTTTTCCCTAGGTCAAAGTTGAACAGCAACTCTGGGGCAGGGAGAACCTCAAGGCCCGGTAGGACAAGCGACTCCCCATGGTTTCTCTCAGGTTCCGAGACTCTGGGCAGGCTGGCAGGCAACACCCTGGGGTAAGTTGTGGCTGGATGTTGGCATCCATTGGTCTGGGCCAGTGCTCTGAGTGCTTTCATTGTGCTGTGTCGTCTTCAGTATCATCTAGTGATGGGAGGAGGAAACTCTCCTGAATCTACACAGGAGCTCGTTGTAGCTCATGATGAGCCACCATAATAAAAGTAACCCTTGCAGGCTAGTCACAGCTAACCCAGGTTCTTAACCTTTTAAAAATGTGAAGTGTTCACATGTGTTTATAATGCCATTTATTATGCCAGTTTTATTATTTAAATATTTCAGTGATACCATTTTGGTTTTGTGACTCTTTCTTGGGTTAAAAAAACCCAAGATTTTTTTCTTTCTGGTATCCACATCTTATAGTTCTTTCTGAATTAACTTAGTGAAGTTTGAAATTCATGTAACTAAATCTTAAAGCCTTTAATAAAGTTATTTTTGCCCTTTTTTTTTTTTTAAAAAAATTGAGGTATAATTGACATAAATTCAGGTGTACAACATAATGATTCTGTATTTGTACAGGGAAAGTACTTCCGAGATAATTGTGAGTTTGGTTCCAGACCATTGCAGTAAAACAAATATTATAATAAAGCGAGTCATATAAATTTTTGTTTTTCCAGTGCATGTGAAAGTAATGCTTACACTATTTTTAGTCTGTTAATTGCAATAGCATTATGTCTAAAAAAATAATGTATGTACCTTAATTAAAAATACTTACTAAAACTGCTTACCATCATCTGAGCCTTCGTAATCTTTGTGCTGGTGGAAGGTCTTGCCTCGACATTGATGGCTGCTGACTGATCAGGGTGGTGGTTGCTCAATATTGGGGTGGCTGTGGCAATTTCTTACAATAAGACAATAGTGAAGTTTGTCACATTGATTGACGCTTCTTCTCATGAACGCTTTCTCTGCAGCATGCGATGCTGCTTGATAGTATTTTACCTACAGTAGAACTTTTACGGAAATTGGAGTCAGTTCTCAAATCTTGCTGCTACTTTATTAACTAAGTTTATGTGAAATTCTCAATTCTTTTCTTATTTTTTCAGTAATTTTCATAGCAACCTCAGGCTCCACTTCTAATTCTGGTTCTCTTGTTATTTCTACCACATCTACGTTTACTTCCTCCAATGAAGTCTTGAATCCCTCAACTCCTCAATGAGGGTTGGGATCATCTTCCAAATTTCTGTTAATGTTGCTATTTTGACATTTTCACATAAATCACAGTTGTTCTTATAGCATCTAGGATAATTAATTCTTTCCCAGACCCACTGGAGGAATCATGACAGCAATAGCCTGTGAAACGTATTTCTTAAATAATAAGACCTGAAAGTTGAAATTACTCCTTGACCCATGGGCTGCAGAATGGATGTGGGGTTAACAGGCATGAAAACATTCATCTTGTACATCTCCATCAGAGCCCTTTGGGGACCACAGATGCATTGTCAATGAGCAGTAACATTTTGAAAGAAGTGTGTGTTTTCTGAGCAGTAGGTCCCAACAGTGGGCTTAGTACTATGTAAACCATGTTGTTGACAGATGTTTTGTCATACAGGCCTTATTGTCCCATTTTTAGAACACAGGCAGAGTAGATTTAGCATAATTCTTAAGGTCTCTAGTATTTGGGGAATGGTAAATGAGAAATGGCTTCCGTCTGGCGCCTTAGACCACTCGGCCATCCTGACACCAGACAAACCTTTATGGATACACCATCGCCCACAGTCTGTAGCTGACTGTGCATTCTATGGGTTTGGACAAATTTCTAACATGGTTTCCATTATATAGTATCATACAGTGCTCTGCCTGTTTTATCCTACCCTCCTCATAACCCTTGGCAGCCACTGAACTCTTCAGTTTTCAGGAGGTTATTGGGAGGATAAATGGTGATTTTTCCAGACTGTTACATAATTGGGATCATACACTTTGTAGCCTTTCTAGATTCGCTTCTTTCACTTAGTAATAAGCATTTAAGTTTCTTCCACGTCTTTTTATGTCTTGGGAGCTCATTTCTTTTTTGTCACGATTAAAGTTCATTGTATGGATACACCATGGTTTACTTATCCATTCTCCTGCCGAAGAACATCTGGATTGCCTCCAACTTTTGGCAGTTGTGACATTGTGTGCAGGTTTTTGTGTGGGCATAAGGCTTTAACTCCTTTGGATAGATAGCTAGGAACACAATTACTAGGTCGTATGTTGAGTATGTTTAATTTTGTAAGAGCCCAGCAAACTGCCACAGTAGCTGTATCATTTGTTTTCCCACCAACAAAAGGTGAGAGAGTCCCTGTTCCTCCACACCCCCACCAGCATTTGGTGGTGTCCGTGTTCTGGATTTGGGTTATTCTAATAGGTGTATAGTGGTATCTCATTGTTTTAATTTGTATCTTCTTGATGACATGATGATGTAGAGCAGTGATGGCGAACCTATGACGCGTGTCAGAGGTGACACGCAAACTCATTTTTTTTGGTTGATTTTTCTTTGTTAAATGGCATTTAAATCTATAAAATAAATATCAAAAATACAACTCTTTGTTTTACTATGGTTGCAAATATCAAAAAATTTCTATATGTGACACGGCACCAGATTAAGTTAGGGTTTTTCAAAATGCTGACACACCAAGCTCAAAAGGTTCACCATCACTAGCCTAGATTTAAATCCTCTTCTCTTTATAAAACTTCTATATAACCAATTATAATAGGTTGTGTAAAGAAGGACTCAAATACAGCGGTGGAATTTAATTACTTGGCTAATAAAATATTCAATAAATATAATAAAATATAGTACATTTAAGCTTGAATAAAACCTTGGTAGACCTAATCCAAAGAAGATTAGGGCTAATTGTAAAACTCTGAGCCCTGGCTGTTTTGTTCAGTGGTTAGGGTGTCAGCCCTCAGACCAAAGAGTCTTGGGTTTGATTCCTGGTCAAGGGTATATACCCCAGTTGTGCCCCCCCCCCCTCCTGGTCAGGGTGCATGCAGGAGGCAACCAATCGATGTGTCTCTCTCTCTTTCTCCTCCTCCGCTCTCCCACTCAGTTTGAAAAGCAATGGAAAAAATACCCTCGGGTGAAGATTTAAAAAAAAAAGACTTTGAAAATGCAGATACTCAATAATTTTTGAGTTTCCCCTTACCAATCTTTGCCCACATTTCTTCTCTCTCTCTCTCTCTCTCTCTCTCTCTCTCTCTCTCTCTCTCTCTCTCTCTCTCTCTCTCTCTCTCTCTCTCTCTCTCTCTCTCTCTCTCTCTCTCTCTCTCTCTCTCTCTCTCTCTCTCTCACACACACACACACACACACACACACGTGCACACATGCACATGCACCCTCCAGAACAAACTGTAAAATTTCTTTTGCATTGGGTCCATGAATTGGAATATTAAAAAATGTCACAGTGCCCACTGACAACTCATTGCAAGTCATTGTTTACCTCACTTGTAGGTGTTTACAAAGTGAACACACTTAAAAGCTGATTGTTTCTCTGAACCTCTATGAAAAGTCGTCTCAGTTTTTTGATGGTGAAGTTGTAATCAGGTTATTTTGTAGATAAAGAAATTACATAGAGTCAAAAGTATTCTCTTTCATAATAATTTTTTCCTTGAGTTGTGTAGTTTCCCCCCCTCTTTTTGTGTTGATTATAATAAACTAGAAAAAAGTTTGCGATTTATAATTTGTAATAGAGAATCTAGGACAGGTAGATCTTGAGTCTACAAAGAGAAGTTTTACCCGCAAATTTATCAAATGCAGTCAAATATGACAGAGACCATTCCCAAAGATCGTTGTCACTAGTCTGTATCTTATGAGTCATGGCTTGTTCCCTTTGGGTTCAGAGAGGTGTCATGAATCAGGGCGTGAGTGGTCTCTGTATTTGAGAACTGCATTGGAAAGATTTGGGGGTAGTTGGTACTATTTTCCTTTTCATCAGAATGGATAATTGAGAATTGATCATTTATTTTACTCATAGGAATGCATAGCAGTCAAAATGTATGGGACTTTAATATTTTTAATATATTGGTGTTTTGTTTTTTTTAAAGAAATATTTTTATTGATTTCAGAGAGGAAGGAAGAGGGGGAGAGAGAGAGAAACACCAATGATGAGAACCATAGATTGGCTGCCTCCTGCATGCCCCCCACTGGGGATGGAGTCCTCAACCTAGGTATATGCCCTTGACCGGACTCAAACCTGGGACCCTTCAGTCCACAGGCCAACACTCTATCCACTGAGCCAAACTGGCTAGGGCTATATTGGTGTTTTTACTGATTGGCAGGTTTGTGTGCTAAAGATTTCTAGTTGTTGCTGTTATATTGTTTACTCAAATTTATCCTGGGAGATATTTCAGAAAACTAGATATTTTTGTTAAACTCATTTCAAACCAGGTTATGTAAGCGTAAGAACTCCAAGTGTATTTGGGGCAGAGAGAGGATTTATTTGTATTAAAGAGTAAATTTAAAATGGAGATATTAGTATCTAAAGTCTCTTTATTCTGTTATTTGTTACTAGAGGCCCAATGCACGAAATTCATGTTCAAGAGTAGGTCTTCCTTCCCCCTGCTGCCCGCACTGGCTTCTCTCCGGCCTCCGGCAGGCACCTGGGACCCAGGCTTCCCTCGCAGCCCCAGCTTCGTCCAGAAGGGGACCTCTGGTCTAATTAGCATATTATGCTTTTATTATTATAGGTCACTGGACGTAATAGGTGATAGGTATAACTTGCTTGAACTATCATATTCCCTTTGAAATTTAATCTGAGCTAATAATTTCTACAGGATTTGAAATGTAAGAGCCAAGCCAGGTCAACATAATTGTAAATAGTTGAAGCTGACGAGGTTGGTAAGATAGTAGGTAGTAGAGCTTTGACAAACTAGGTGGGTGCCCTATTGTAAAAAGAGATGATCAGCCCTAGCCAGTTTGGCTCAGTGGGCCTGCGGACTCAAGGGTCCCAGGCTCGATTCCGGTCAAGGGGTGTGCCTTGGTTGCGGGCACATCCCCAGTGGGGGTGTACAGGAGGCAGCTGGTTGATGTTTCTCTCTCATTGATGTTTCTAGCTCTCTATCCCTCTCCCTTCTTCTCTGTAAAAAATCAATAAAATATATTTAAAAAAAATAAAAAGATGATCAGCTGACTATTACTATAGGGTAATTGTTGCCAAATACAAATTCCAATGGCCCATCCCCCCTCTTTTTGTCCTTAGAAAAGTTGCAAATCTGGATTTTATGTTAAATCTCCTGATTTAAATGTTGGAACTAATTAATATTTTTATTTAAATAAATACGCGTGCGCACACACACAGGCACACGCATACCAATCATACATCTACAGTATGTGTGAATATATAGTGTGTGTAATATACACACGGATCTGTTTGTGTATGTATATCCTCTTTTAAATAACTTCCTTTAGAATAGGTTTAAATTAACAGAAAAATTACAAAGATAGTATCGAGATTTCCCATATACCCTACCCTCAGTTTTTACTGTTATTAATATCTAACATTAGTATGGTGCATTTTTTTTCAGTTAACATATACGTACTGATACATTATTATTAATTGGAGGCCTAATGTTATTCACATTTCCTGAGTTTTCCCCTAATGTCCTTTTTGTGATCCAGGATCCCATTCAGGACACCACATTATATTTAGTCATCTTTTTTCCTTAGGCGCTCCTCTTGTCTGACACTTTCTCAGACTTTCCTTATTTTTGATGATGTATATACCTTTTTAACCAACCAACCAGTCAGGTGTATGGACAAGACTTGGCCCATGTAGCCCATGTAGATGTCAAACCCTTTCTAAGAGTAATTACTCTTGGTCAAGTTAGTTAAGAGTGCTAAATACTATTGAACAATGTATTATCTTTGCAAATGAATGTTTTATTCCATGCAAAGCACTTTGAGTCCTAAACTCTGAATTTTACTTTTTGTGTGACTGTGTTGGTAGTTACGTCTGATGTGTCCTTCATGCAGAGGTGAGATGTGTACTATAACTCACTTTAGAGTTGTGGCTAGAATAGCTGGTATGTGGATCCTTTAAAATATATTTTAAAGATACAAAAGTGTGGTGTTTACTAGTATCTTTCTAAAGGGTGGCTTTATATGTAAGCATTCTTAAAAAATTGGAAGTGTTATTATAAAGCTCAGTACTATTATCTTGTTCTATCAAAAGACTACCATATGATTATCAGTTAGACAGCTTTATCTTAGCTTAAGAGAATGAAAATGAGATCTGAAGTGATCTTTTCAGAATGAGTGTGTAAACTTACAATTCTCTAAATTATCCAATTTTAGAAGTCGCTGGAGTTCTGGCGTAGGTGGCAGTGGAGGAGGATCCTCTGGTAGGTCGTCAGCTGGAGCGCGAGATTCCCGTCGACAGACTCGAGTGATTCGGACAGGACGGGATCGAGGGTCTGGGCTTTTGGGCAGTCAGCCCCAGCCCGTTATTCCAGCCTCCGTCATCCCCGAGGAGCTGATTTCACAGGTATGGCCCTTGTAGAACACTTAACATAAGGATGAGGTTTAACTGAATATAGTGAGTTGTAGTCATTACTCATATCATGAATTGTGAAATACTGCTCTCCTATATTGATCCTAGAAAGATGATTTTGAGAAAGAATTTAATCAAAGTGTAATTAGAATAACACTCTTCATTTCAGGCCCAAGTTGTTTTACAAGGCAAATCCAGAAGTGTCATTATTCGGGAACTTCAGCGAACAAACCTCGATGTAAACCTTGCTGTAAATAATTTACTTAGCCGGGATGATGAAGATGGAGATGATGGGGATGACACAGCCAGTGAATCCTACTTGCCTGGAGGTTGGTGGATCACCATCATGGTTTGGTCATCTCTGAAGGGAAAGGTTGTTTTTAAACTGGGGAATAGAATTTTAAAGTACAATGAGTATTCTGACTTAAATATCCAAGGTTGTAGATATTTCTCCCTAGAGTGTTTTTTTAGTTTTTGTTTTTAATCCTCACCTGAGGATAATTTCCCATTAATTTTCAGAGAATGTGGAAGAGAGAAAGACAGAGAAATATTGATGTGAGAGAAACATCAATTAGTTGCCTCCTGCACATACCCCGACCAGGGCACAGGCTTGGAAGAAGCCTGCAACTGAGTTACGTGCCCTTGGCTAGAATCAAACCCATGACCCTTCGGTCCTCAGGCCGATGCTCTATCCACTGAGCCAAACCGGCTAGGGCCCTGTAATGTTTGTTGGTTTGTTTTTTAATTACAAATTCTTTTTTAAGGAAAAATGGGGAAATGTCTGCTCAGTGTACATGTGTTTGGTCCCAGTAAAGAAATGGATGTCTGTGCATCGCTTTATCACTGGCTGACAAATGACTTTGGACTTTTGTTTTTTGGTGCCCTTATTACTCAATATGTCTTAACTGCATTTAAATTTTAACTCTATTATCTCTGTGATGTCACAAGTATCTTAAGAAATCTTATTTTCTTGTGATTATTTAGTAGGTAGCACAAGTAAGTAGACATGCAGTTGATGTTCCTTAAAATATTTGTTAAGAATGTTTACTTTATTTCCTGGGTAATGACTGCTTTTTTCTCTCAGCTTATGTCAGTCAGTTCCTGATTTTAATCTGTTTTAATTTGCAGAGATCTTTCGATGGTCTTTTGGTGTTTTCTCTATATCTGCTTCATTTTTATTTGTTTCTGTTTTGTAGAGGATCTTATGTCTCTTCTTGATGCTGACATTCATTCTGCCCACCCAAGTGTCATTATTGATGCGGATGCCATGTTTTCTGAAGACATTAGCTATTTTGGTTACCCTTCATTTCGTCGCTCATCACTTTCCAGGCTAGGCTCATCTCGAGGTAATTTTGCATTTCTTTGTGACTATTGGCTGGCTGTATGGAGAGCGAGTGGTAAAATTTGCTGTATTTGTTAATACTAAAGTAGATGAAATAATTACTTACTAAGTTTTTTTGGATGTTTTGGCATTAAAACTAGTTGTTTTTATTTTGAAGAGCCACAATACTTTGGAGATGTTTATATCTACTTTGGAATACTCATGAAGGGTTACGAGTGTATTTTTAAATAGGATTATGGATTCTGAACTAAAAGCAGAATTCTACTTTATAGTGACATGCAGCATTCAGAAAACAAATCTCTTTAGTTTATTTGATTAAATTAAAGTGATTATTCTGTTAATTTTAAATCCTGGTTAAACGAAAGAGTGAAAAAACTTCTTAGAAAGGGATTGGCCAATTATAAATATAGAAATGTTTAGCTTAATAAAATGCTATTTTAAGAAGGTATAATAGAGGTTAGAAAGAAGATTTTGAAATCATACAAATATAGGACTTTGTCTATGTTGGTATAGTTTGCATTTAATTTTGTTAAATGTTTTTACTTTCTACAATGTAAAACTGCTTGATTTAATAACAATCAGCTATATAATTTACCGATCATTAATAAATTGAAGAAGTTGCCATATTATATTAAGCTCTTGCTGCAAATATTTAGTAATTAAAACCAGTTTTAAAAGAACAAACCTATGATTTTTTAAACATACTGAACCTATTATGTAATAGCTTTAAAGAAATTTAAATGCATACTTTACTGCCTTAAATGCATCAAGTACTGAGTTTTAAAATATTCAGTACCTAACACAAATAACCCCTTGTAAATTTCTCCCTTTACTTTATGTCATTCTATGTCATAGTAGGCATTACTTTTAATTTGAACCATGTGAAATTGCTGGTACTTGCTGATTTTTGACCTGCATTGGTGGCAGTTTGAATGGATCAAATTAATTTTGTTTTTAGTCTTTCTTATCAAAAACTTGGACCTGCAAAAACTGGTTAGAGAATTTGTAGTCAATTGCAGGGGAAGCATTTTGTAAGATAAGAAAATTTTTCTATAAAGATTCTTAAAAATAAAAGCCTGTCTGGTTTCTTAAAAATTTCAAAATTACACTTATTCATAAAAATCCAGCCTATAAATTACTCTAAACTAGGCCTTGGATTATAAAAAGTTTTTTAGTTAATATTAATAGATTTAATCATTTCAAGGTTTTTCCTGTATGTATAGTTGGTTTTTTTAAAAAATAACAGAAAACATTCTAACAAATACTTTTGGTTTACATATGTATCTAACATGTTGAAATTCTAATTTATGCACATTTCTAATAAATAAATAAAAAGTTATGGTAAGCATTTTTAATGAAAGCCCAGAATTTTAAATTCCATTTAAAAAATCTGTAGCAGTTTAAAGTAATTCTGCTATAAAAACATGTTGGGATTCAAAAAAGTCTGTACAGAGCTTTTAAAAATACTAGCTTATTATTTTTATACTTTCACTGAAAGAGTTAATGTTTTGAATGTTGCATGTCAGGCTTATTAGAAATACATTTACAGTTAATTTTTGTGAGTAGATAAACTGCTGTTAGTTGCATCCTGAAGGGTCTTTACTAGAGAGTGGCTTACTTTTATCCCACTGGTGTGACCCAATTGCATACCAGTTCTCCTTCTTCCCTTAGAGAGAGACTCTGAGCTGTTGCGTGAACGTGAATCCGTTTTACGTTTACGTGAACGAAGGTGGCTTGACGGAGCCTCATTTGATAATGAAAGGGGCTCTACCAGCAAGGAAGGAGAGCCAAACTTGGATAAGAAAAACACACCTGTTCAAAGTCCAGTGTCTCTAGGAGAAGATTTGCAGTGGTGGCCTGATAAGGTATTTGGAAAAAATCCCCACCCTTTCTATTTAAATAGATTCCTGATAACCACCCTTCTACCCCTTTCACACCCCCCAAAAAAGGTTTCTATTTTATTTCAGATTTTTGTGCTATTATTAATAAAACACACACACACACAGTGATTTTTTTGTTTTGTTTAAAAAGTAAGTAGTTTTCTCAGTGGCTAGAGCATTGGCCTGAGCACCAAAAGGTGTTTGGTTCAATTCCCGATCAAGGTCATGTACCCGGGTTGCACATGTGGAAATAACCAATCTACTCTCTCACATCAGTGTTTCTCTCTTTCTTCTTCCCTTCCTCTCTCCCTTCCATTCTCTCCAAAAAAATCAATGGGAAAATATCCTTGGGTGAGGATTTAAAAAAAAAAAGTATGTATTTATGTATGCATGCATGCATGCATGCATGTATGTAGGGTATCTTTATTTTGCATTACATGAGAAGTATTAGTGAGCTGTGTTTCAGTGGTGCAGTTTTTTTCTACTTGATGAAGTAAATCAGAATGGTAATTCCAGGTAATACATCAGCCTTCTGTTTTAGAACTCTTTTTCTCGTGATAATTTTACCAGTAACTGATGGTATATCACTAATAAGATTTGTTTTATAATGTCACGTGGACCCCGGTTTTTGCAGGGCACGTTTGTGGTCATTTGGATACAAGCATGCATGTGAGGGCAAGATCAGGGATCTGTTTTTCTCTGACTAGTTAGCTGTCCCCGGATGGCAGTGAATGTGGCAGCCTCTGTGCTTTAAATGCCTGTGGGCACAAACAGGCTGAACTGTAATGCACTGGAGGAGTTCTGCTCTGCCACCGGAGAGGCTCCATGTATAGGCTGGTAGAAAGCAGCCAGGATTTGTTAAGGTGATTTGAATCTTTAAGAGCCCACCACTGCCACTAGTGATGCACCCTGTTGATGGTGTGTGGGTTTCATTGTGATGGGTGATTCATCTTCAGAGGGTCCTCTTGGAAGCCGTAGGTTTTCACCTCTGCTGCTTATTTCCAGAAACAGTTGGGTAGGAAATGTTCATCAGTAGAAATAATAAAAGATAAGAATTTTGAGGTTAAACTCTAGCAGATAAGGAGTTTCTGATAAGGATTTCTTTTCTGTCTTTGAAGTTGATTTTGGAATATTAAAGGAAAATATTATCTAACTATTTTTCATAGTTATTATGAATCTTGACATAGTTCATTTATTTTCTTCTGTATTCAGCTCATGTAGAAAACTTGAATGTAAAAGGAGCATGAATTTTAATCAGTCTCTTTGTAAGCAAAAGGTTATTCTGGTTTCCTTGGCAGCTGACAGATTTTCCCTGAGTTGAATTCTTTTACTTATTTCCATAAAACTAGAAATTTCCAAAGTTTTAACTTTCACTTCATATGATAGAAGGTGATTTAAACCACAGGCTTTCTTTTTGTGTGTATAGTGCATTGTTCTGCGTTTCCTATTTCTCTTGCCTGCATCATATTAGAGCTGTGTCTGCATATTGGCAGGGAGTCAAGAAGACTCACAATCTTATTTTCACAGTGCCATCGCCTACATACTAGTCTAAGCTTCTTTATCATGTATTATTTTTGATTAATGAAAGTGTTTTGAACTGTCCAAGTTTAGCAGAGTTGTCCTCTGGCCAGTGTGCCCGTTGTTAGGTTTAGCCAGTGATTTGCCTTTACCGGGAGGCATGTTTTCAGGCAGAACTTGTTTTCAGAGATAGTCACTAAGTGCATCATGAAATCTTGATGCTGCACAGACCTTACTTAGTATATTCCCTTGGTTTGTTTAGACATTGACTGGAGGAGGAATAGCAGTATGTGAAACAAGATGTAGCTTAGCTATACTTTTCTTTCTTACTAAACACCTAATTTAAAACATTGTCGCCGAAAAAGAACCCCTTTTTATTAGTTTATGATTGACAGTTAGACATCAAAAATTTTAATTCAGGGAAAGAAAACAGCTTAAGCCTAATCAAACTACTAAGCATTATCAATTATCAACAAATACCAGTAGATGATTATTTACAGGGCTGGGTACTACATTCAGAAAGACAGCATAGAGTTATTTATTGAAGGGTAAAAAGACCTTGCCTTCAGGTAAGTTTAGGGCAACATTCAAAGCTATCATAAAGGAGCATAGGGTGAATCCCATATGAAGGATCAGGCAACATGCTGGACCATAGTGGTCCTTCAAAATTGGGACAGTGATTCCCGAGGAGTAGACGGTTTGGGGGGAAGGCCTTCATTAGGGAATAGAGAGAGAGGTGGAGAGTTCAGGGAGATGTCAGCATGCACTACTGTGAAGCAGTGTGTCTATCTGTCTGACTGTCTTGGAAGCAGTGTGTCTGTCTGTCTGTCTGTCTTTCTAAAAATATGCATCCCAGCTTATTTTAGATTATAAGTTTGGTTAGTACCCATAGTTTTTTTATTATTATTATTTCTTTTTAGTTAGGGTGCAATTCCATTGGTATATTATCTGGATTAGTACTGACTTTCCCACCACCCACATAGAAGAACAGCTACTTCAAAATTTTACCATTTTGTAGGCTAGTAAACTTCCTTTAAAGGTGGAATATTCTCTTTTCTTTAAGCCTTTATAGTATAATCTTGAGCTGAAAAATTTTTGAGATAACCTTAAACTTCATTTCCATGAATTACCCTTTCAGTTAAAAGTCAAAACTAGTATTAAAGCATAATTGAAATTTATCATAGGATGTTGAAAACTTCATGAAGACAGAGGTGTGAGGGTAATTAAATCAGTTTTAATTGAATGTGATAGGTTTCTTGCTTAAGTATTAGGGTGAGAATTTTGTAGGAAGGCAGAAAAATATTAATACTTCCAAGTAGGTACAGTAATAAAATTAGATACAAAAGGCTTTGGGGAGTCCCAGGAGGCCACACAGAGTAATTACTAAAAGTGTGGACTCTGGAGCCAGACTCCTGGAGTTTATATCCTGCCTCTGCCACTTACTGGTTATGGTCAAATTCTAGAATCTCCCCGGGACTTTGTTTTTTGACTATGAGATGAGAATAATAATGGTTTTTATTTTATGGGATTTTCATTAGACTTAAATGAATTCATATAAGTAAAGTGTAAAGACCAAGGTTCAGGCAAGGTCCTGTTCTACAAAGAAAAAGGAAGTTGCTGCAGGTCATGGAGAGTGAGAGAGTTATGTAGTGGGTGATGTAATTAGTAATTACAATAATAATTTAGCATAATAGGACATTAAAAGGCAGTCTGTATGCACCAAGGAAAGAAGTGGAGGGAGTGTTTTACATCTGTGCCTTTAAGTCCAGGCCCTGACGTAAAAACTAGCCAAGTTTATACTGGTTTCTGATTGGTATTACCAGAAGTATTATTATGCTCTCTCTCCCCCCCCAATCTCCCAGCACTTTTTTCTCTCCCCTATTCCTGCCCCTCCTTCTCTTTGCTTATTGTACTTTACATTTCTGGAAATAGCTTTGATAATTCAGTTACTTCAATGAGAACATGAAATTTCTTAAGTAGGTGATTATCTAACATGGCTCCATTTACACTCTCAGCGCCCCCCCACCCCCCCCAATTTACTTTTTTCAGACTAGAAATTTAGTTCTGTGTTGCACATTGTAACCAAATACATATAACTATATATATGAATGTGTAAATTGTAACTGTATATGTATTTATACCAATGTAAAGTGACTTATTCGCAAGGGGGAAAATGCAATTATAGAAACAGACTTAAAAGTAGAGTGCAAAGAGCAGTGTAATAAATGTTGAAGGGAGAGGAAGGAGAAAAATTACACAGAAATCCATGCTAAGTAATTCTGCTGAAGCTGAACATTGAAGTTTCACTTGTGCCCTATCACAGAACACATCCCTTCTTTCCAGCAAGCTCGCAGAGAGGAGTTTTGGTGTGAGTTGTGTGGTGGTGATGAAGAAACAGACTGAATCAGCAAGTCAGTACTGTTAATTTGCGGTCATGTCCCTGCTGTTCTGGATCTATTTTCACATAGTCTAGGGGAAATCAGAACATTTAATCCACCGGCCTTTTGAATTACAGAGTTGTATGTAATATAGTCGGAGTTTCTTTGAATGGTGTTGAGAGGAAATAGCTCCATAACGTTTGGCTCCTTACTTAAGCTATTTGGAGCAGCCTCCTTGTTGGAACCAATTGATCAAACTCAGTCATATTGCTTTACCCCGCAGGGTTCCAGATGTGGAAACTGGTGGGAGAGGTCTTTGTTATTGTTTTTAATTGACACTGGAAAGTTTCCAGGATAACTTACAAGTTAGCTAGGTGTGTCACAAATGTCTTATCTAATAATAGACAAACATGTAAATCGACCGTACCTTCCCTACGCTAACCAGCCAATCAGGAGAGTATGCAAATTAACCTAACGGAGATGGCGGTTAATTTGCATAGGTAGGCTCCAAGTGGTGGAGCGAAGCCTGACTTCCTGGGGCCGTCGGAGCAGCAAAAGCCTCACAGCCCCGGGGCTGCTCTGGCTGGAGCCCGGCCAGAGTGAAGGCATGGGTGCCGGGTACCGGAGGAAAACCGGTGCCAGTAGCCAGGGGAAAGGAAGGCCTATTGCTCGAATCTCTTCATGCAACAGGCCTCTGGTAATTTAATAATGAAATAAGAGGAAAAAGAGAAATGGTCCTGAAAAGGAACTGAAGGCAGGCAGAGGATCCTATGGAAAAGTAGGTAGGCAGGTAGAACTGAAGGTGAATAAGGACAGATGACCAAATGGCACTATAGCCTGTGTTGTATTCCATCTGTTTCAACCATAATACATAGTACATTGCTTTTGGAGCTCATACGGGAAGACTAGTGTTTGCTAATAGTAGGAAAATTAAAATAAAAAAGATCAAAACCAAGTTTTGTGGGGAGAAATTTAGGAATAGAAAGGCCAACCTTTTCAAAATATAAATTACTAAATATAGATGAGTGGAAGTTCATGTTACTGGGCTGACCTTTTTTTTTTTTTTTTCTTTAACATTTTGGCCAGGAG